ATCTTTCTAGCACCCTGAACTTTTGCTAGACATTCAGCTTTGCTAAGAAATACAGCAATGCTTCTTTTAATCGTGGTAGAGTTTTTGGGGGGTGTTTGTGTGTGTGTGTCTTTCAGTCTTTCCTGACTCCCGGAAACTGCCCAGATTAGTCCCTGCAATTTTTCTGGCAAGATTTCAGAGGTGGTTTGCTATGGCTTTCTTTCCAGGGCTGAAAGAAAATAACTGGCCTAAGGTCATTCAGCTCACTGTGTACCCTAAGGCAGGATTACAATTCACAGTCTCCTGGTTTGTAGTCTGATATTTTAACCACTACACTATACTGGCTCTTCTTTTTAATTGATACATAGAGATAAACGATCAAAAGCAGAGAGAGAGATAGGGAAAAAAAAGTAAACAGTACTGTTTCTATAATTGAGGTGATAATATCCCTGCTAACTGCGCAGTGTCCATTCTTTCTCCATTCTGTGATCAGAGCGGGAGTTGGCAAGCAGCAATATACATTTTCCAGGTAGTGTAGGATAGAGGTATAATTTGTATGTGGTGCAAGGTTTTTTGCATTTGTGTTTTCAGTTTGGGATGTAGGTAAGCTAGCAGGAATTTAAGTCCTTGTACTTTGGGTGTTGGCTGGGGTCCAGCGGTCCATATAACAACAACAGAAAAGAAGTTTGTTAACTTTGCCTATTTGTTAGGTTCTGGTTTCTGCTCCTATCTTGGTAATATTTGAATATTATGATATTTATAGAAGATAACTGGAACTCCTTTTAAAGCTATGAATAATTCTTTTTTGTTTTCTTCTTAATAGCCACTGAGCTTCCATTTTAAAGAAAGTTAACTTAATCATAAAGAATAATGGGTTATCTAGCTCAAAGGCCCTTTAATGTTTTGTATTTAAAAAGAAATGTTGAAAGAAACTTAATAAAGGCACCAAATTCCTATGAATGTGGTTTTTAAATTGTATAAATGGTTTCAGTGAAATAAGATTAAGTACATGTAGTACTAAATGAATAGTTGTTTTAGAAACATAGAACATTAATTTTCTGTAATTATCAACTAAGGACACCCTGTATCTATGTGGGAGGAACATATGTATAATATACCTAGTAGAAAATACTGCAGAACTAAAAAAACAGGATTGCTAAAGGATATTTCAGAATGCCAATCAATGAAGCTGGGGTTGGCTTGTAGTCTGTAATCAACTATGTCCAAATAACCATTCAAACATACCCTTAATTCTAATTACTTGATTGGAAGTGGCTGAATGTTTTTCAGCTGTACTTGGATTATTAAGCATATCTGTAGTACAAATATTTGTTAAATGTTACCTATCAGTGGTTAAGCATGTGGTAGATTGAATTTAAGAGATATTTAGGAGATTTTGCCATTTAAAATGAGGAAAATAGACGGGTGGGTTTCTACCGGTTCTCTCCACCTCTGTAGAACCGGTAGCTCTGAAGAGCAGCAGACATAGAACCGGTTCTATGTCTGCTGATGTTTTTGCCCACCCGCCCACCTGGGCTGTTACCTGATCTTTATTTCCTGATTTTTCAACTTCAGCTGCCAAATGAGGCACAGCTGCAGTTAAAAAAGCAGGAAAAGAGTGCTGTTTCAAAGGCTGCTTCTCTGCACGCAGTGTGCTGATGACGATTACAAGCGCGCACTCGCGGCTGTGCAGAAAAGCACATCATAAATCACCGAACCTCGTAAATCCTGAACCGGTAGTTAACCCTGTCGTATCCCACCCCTGAAAATAGATGCAGATACTGTCTGGGAACATTTAGATGCACAGCCAGCTTTGTAATTGATTTGTATAAGCATATTTGGCTCACCTTTTGAAATCAGCTGTTTAAGGATAGAATTCCGAGTAAGAGGAACATTATGGACATTTTTCTTTATTTTAGTGGAAATTATATCTTGAAGCTTTGATAAGTCCTAGTACTTTGCAGAATAATTAAAATAGATTAACTATATGACTAGGCAGTCCCAAAGGTGCTTTTTCAAAAGGCAATTGGGCTATATTTTTCCCCTTGAGTAAGAAGATTGATGTTTCGTTTCTCATCCAAGAAGCTTCTTCAGCCAGAACTGAAGAAGCTTCTTGGATAATTATTCTGTTTGGAGTGCCAGTTAAATGCAAGCTTTGGTTATATAGTATACTAGACAACCCATGTTGGGTGATCATTTCAGAAATGTTTTCCTTACCTAAAGAGAGACAAGGAATGTCATAGGTGGCCAAAAAAAAAGGAGTGGGAGCAGGACCAACTTCTGACTTCTTGCCACCTTTCCCATCAAGTTTCCTTGTTTCCTTCTTGCTGGGTGGAGAAAGAAGTGAGGGATTGCAAAACTTGCTGGGAAACTACGATATCATGGAAAGTTGAAAATAAAGATCACATGACTGCAGCAGATTTTGGATAGATTCTGTAAGTTAACCCATTTGACTTCCCTTGGTTCAAAAAATGTTGCTCTCTGTTGTACCGTTTCATTCAGTTAAAGGTCATTTTATTTTTATGGATTCAACATATATGCTACCCATCTCGCTCATAATGAGGATTTTAGTCGTATGGATATTTAGTAGTATAGAGACAGAGGCATCCATAGAGCTGAATGATGGGGCGGGGGGCAGTGTCAAAAGGTTCCTATGGCAATTGGGATACATGGGGCAGAGCTGTCCCATGATTCCAGCTACCATCTTGACTTTTATGCCTGTTGCAGATGCCCCGTATGTTAAAATGTCTTTTTGATAAAAAAAAATCTCTTATTGTTAACTCGCACTCTTATAAAGAATGAGAGATGATCTAACTATAAACTGTGAATTAGTTTTGTGGTATTTCACCTTTCATAAAAAAGGTTAATTCAATTTACAGATCATAGAGACATTAAAAATATGTGGTAATTACTCAGTGCATTTTCTGTGAAGATTGAATCTTCCCAGATTTTTCTTGCTTGAAACAAAATGAGTGTGTGTGGGGGTGCAGGAGTGTGTGGACATACATATGCAAAAATGTATATCTAGATCTAGTAAATGGAATCTTAACAAAATAGGGATATTTGAAAATAGTATCCACAGATTTATTATTGTTAATTACAGTAAAATTAATGTTTAATTTGAGAAGTGGTGTTTAAATAATAATACATATAATCATTATACCCAAACATGGGGTTGTGATGGCTCAGTAATTAAAGATGTTGAGCTTGTTAGCTGGAAATTTACAGCCTGGATTCAAGACCAGAGTACTATGTGATGGAGTGAGCTTCTGTTACTTGCCCCAGCTCCTGCCCATGTAGCAGTTTGAAAGCATGCTAATGCAAATAGATAAATAGGCACCACTTCGGTGGACAGTAATAGCATTCTGTGTGCCTTGGTGTATAGTCAGGCTGGCCACATGACCACATAAATATCTTTGGATAATGCAGGCTCCCTCGACTAAGAAATAGAGATGAGCATCAACCCTTAGATTCAGATATGACTGGGGAAACCTTAACCTTTACTTTTACTTTATCCAAACATAGATACATGCACAAACAGCATACTCTGTAATATGCATTACTAACTAATAAGATTGGACTATGTTGCAGGCATTGAACCCATCTGTCAATTACATAATAGTTTTAGCATTTTCTTCTTTATTATGGAAGGGGCTGTAGCTCATATGGATAAAGAACAAAAATGAAAAATTGTAGTCAATAGTTTACACATAGAAATCTTACCCAACATTAGCTTTTTAAATCATTATTTCACAATAATTTTTTTCTTTACCAACAGATAAATGACAGTGTTCAATGATATCTATTTGTGCTTTAAAATATTTGATGTTTGATCTATTTATGACTCTTTCTTAAATCAGAAAATGCTGCCTCTGTTTTATATGGGCGTATGCCTTGTAAAGACTGGGGCTTTTTTAAGGAAATCATTTTTAAGTAAAGGAGAACTCTTGGTGACTTCAAGGACATATCCATGTGGTTTTCTTAGGAATACTGTAGAATAAATTCGCTGTTGTCTTATTCCAGACTGTTTTTTTTTTAAACTTTTTAGTCTTGTATATCTCTCTGGAATGTTGTAGTGGTTTCCAGTCCTTAGTACTAACCATGCCCAATCCTGCCTAGCTTCCAAATCCATACTAAGTTGTCTAATTATTTCTATTTAAAAGCCATCTGAAGGGTAGGTAAAAAAATTATCATTTTTTTTCTAGAGGCAAATATTTGTGGCCTGATACATAATGTTATGTCATAATATAGTTTGGTTTTGCCTATGTATAAAACAGGTTACTATCACTGAAGTTAACCCTGATTTTTAAAATCCTGGTTTATACTTTATAAACTTTTTTTTGGATTGAGAACACAATATTTTAAAATTAGGTATATACTGAGACAGACAGTGAGAGAGGCTTGGATTACTACATTTAAGATTTATTTGTCTCAGTTGTGCTCAATTGTTTTAGTCACACCAGTAGTCTTCATAGCATTTTTCACAGAGTAAAAAGAAGAAATGGATCTATAAAGTTTCTGTAGGTTTAAAAACTGGAATAAAATGTTGAATACATCTGTAAAAATAAATTTTCATATATAAAATATGAATTTCCTTTAGAAAATCTTTATCAAGCAGTATTTCCAATGTAGATACAAGATACAAAACAAAAAATAATAATACTGTAGGACTGAAATCAGAGGAAGACACTTCCTTTTCCTAACTTTGTGAAGTAGATAATGCTTTTTCTAATTGAAGTATAAATCTCAGTATTTTCTACTTCCTGTCCCATTCAAAAACTCATAAATGTTTATATCTTACATTGGAGATGATTCTTCATTTCCAAGAAATTTATTTTTATTTTATTTTATTTGCTATGATTACACTTAATAACTGCAGTATATGTTGTACTATACATAAAATTAAAAACTCAATTTGAAGAATATAGTCATGTTTGTAACTGTATTTAGAAGTGTTTTATACTGTTCTTTCCCTGGCAGAAATGTTATTTAAATAAAGCAGACAATGTTTTATTCTACAGGCCATCAGTTGTAAGGGCCAGCACAGTATCTCCTACACGTTGTCACGAAATCAAACCGTTGTAGTAGAATATACACACGATAAAGATACTGATATGTTTCAGGTAAGTGTACTAACATTACATGCTTTTGGTATCATAAAATAGATTTCCTAGAGATTTTAATGTTTCATATGTGCCTTATGGATTGGAAATTTGTCATATGAAAAGTAATTCTCAGAAAGCTTTTATGCTGTGCCCTGTCTCTGTCTTTTATATTAAGAACATTTGCACTACCATGCTTGATCTGACCCCTGGACCATCTAATCTAACAGTCTGTTCTCATAGGACTAACCAACTACACAAGGAAGCTACTGGCCTCCTAGTAGATGGCCTTTAGAGACAGTCACACTGCCTTTAAGGCGAATAGACATTGATCCTAGTATTGGACTTTTCTCAGATTTTACAAATTTGATATGAAATCATCTGTATTAAAATATTACAATTGTTGAAGAAAAATATTAATTGCTTCTCTGTCCAATTTATGGCTCTGTCCAATTTATGTACAATTGCAAAAGAAACCTATTTTGTAGTTATCTTCCTAGTTACACTTTCCTGTGATGTACTTAATGGATCATGCTTTTGAAAATTAGTTGGTTGACACATGAGCAGTGCCTTAGAATAATGTCCCTGAACTTGGATGGGCATTTTTGAAAGCTCTCTCAATGAAGACTAGTGGTAGCTGCGTTGTTTATACTTTGATCTTCTCAATATTATTTTGAAAGTGTGTCCATGTGTACCATGTATAACAGATCCACAGAAGTGCCCCAACTTCCCACTCCATCTAGAAAGGCCTTAATTAATTTTCAAGATTTGTTTGGAAGTCGATTAATTCAATTTTTTCTTTGGATTTTTTAAAAATGATTTTCTCTACTTCAATGATTTTCAAGCTCAGAACATATAGTGCTGTTTGTTAATTTGATACCTTATTTATTTTTTGAAAAGCTCAGAATGGCTTCATATGACAAGGTGTCCCATCTTAATCATGTCATATCCCCCTTGTCTTCACCATTGTTCAGCAATTAAATGCTTCCTATACATTGACTCTAATCTAGAATGTAAAAAAATAGTTATGCCACAAGATAAGCAGTCCAGTGATAATGCTTGCTGAAATTATAGTCTTGAGCTGCTTGATAATATCTGATGCAAAACTCATGTAAACCTGAACTACACCAGATAAACAAGAACAGTCGTAGAAGAAACAATATCTAACTCAAAAGCAATCCAGTAAGAAGTGATGCCTCTTCAATCAAGCCTGGTAGGACAAGCTACCTGACCTATACAATCAGTAATCTCTACTCCCCTGTGCACTCATCTTGATAATGTTATCTAGCTTGGTAATGAAATGTCTGTAGGAAGAAAAGCAAGCTGAGAGAATGCCAAGAACCCAGCAACTCAGCCCTGAACTACATATTTTCACTACGGAAACTATCTGAAACAGCCTAGTATTTAAGTCTTCTTTGGTAGCCTGGACAACCAGGAATTGCTTTGAGGCAAGTGAACAGATTTGATTGCTTCATCCCCTTTTTGCCAGTGCACTTTATTTCCATGCTAGGACATGAAGCCTCTTCCTCCATAATTAGCATGGAAATGTGATGGGCTGATGGAGAGGGACAGATTGTTCCACTTTTTCACCAATTTGTTTGACAGAAGGCCATTAAAAAGATACCCTGAATTTCTATGTGGGCTACAGATAGGAGGGGATTGTCCCTCCTTCCTGTCTGTTAGCAGCCTCGTTGTTGTTTGGAGCATATTTCTAACACTGGTCTCCTAGTTGACAAAGTAAGTCAGGTGGATATTCAAATGGGAGAAAAACACTGTGTTCAGCAATATGTTTCACATTTTTCACCTATTAGAATGAAAACTATCAGATAAAGTAGTGTCATGTCTGAATGGCAAACAATGCATGAAATTGGAAGTGTGGTGGTTTTTTCAAGTAACTCATCTGGCAAATATTGAATTAAAAAAAAATACAATTCAATTTTTTTCTTCAGCAATAGTACTAAGTTTTGATATGTTTTCCTGTAACTTAATGAGCTATTTTACCCAAAGAGTTGCCTAGATAAATTTTTAAAAATGGATCTAGAAAGTAATACTTAATATAGTAATTTTTCAGACCAAATTGTATTAACAGAATAGTTGTTTGGGGGAGGGGGGTGGTATGGAGAATTGTATATGTTAATTTGAGTCTTCTATTAAAGAAAGGGGAGAGGGGGAAATCAAATAAACACATAAAATTTCTAGACAATAACTGCACCTGTGACAGTATTCTATGAATATTACATGAAAAAACATTGTTCAGGCACAGATTTTAAAAAGTGTATGTGGGCTTCAGATATTTCATACTTTTTGTAGCAAGTTTATTGATTTGAGTCCATGATATCAAAAACAAATATACTGTGATAACATATTCTTAAATAAAACATAACGGGGCAAACATTTTTGAGGGTTTGCACATAGGCAAAACAAATGTCCTCAACTTTTGAGCACAGTTGGAATCGGAATCTCAGTTAAGAGAAATGTCACATGACTGTTTTGCTCAGTGATCACAATCCAGGCATTCCTAGTTTTAAGCAGTCTCTCAGACTGTTAAGTGGAGTCCCAGGAAATGGGATTCAATTTTTTTAACAACCAGTTCTGTGGGCGTGGCTTAGTTGGTGGGCATGGCTTGATGGTCATGTGACTGGCTGGGCATGGCTAACTTAACATCACTCACATCAAGGCATGCATCTCCTTGCCTGGCCTGTCATGACTGTGGGGATGCTGCAATAGTCGTAAGTGTGAAAAACGGCTATAAGTCACTTTTTTCAGTGCCCATTGTAACTTGAATGGTCACACCACACAAGCAAAGTACCAGCAAAGGAGGAAAAAAAACTCCAGAGAAGTTCCAGAGACAGAAAGTCTAGTCCTGCTAAGAGTGTAATAAGGGTTAACGGAGAGGCAGTTTCTGTAAGCAACACCAGAATGCTTCCTTCCTGCCTTCCTTACAGGATTAGGCCAGTAATTTCTTCTAACAACCGGTTCTCCGAACTGCTTAGAATGTTAACAACTGGTTCTAGCAAATAGGTACGAACCTGTAGATTCCCACCCCTGCAGGAAAGGCATGCAGGATGCTTTAGGGGGTTGGGGAAGACCTTGGAAGGTCTGGTGCAGGCTGCATGTGATTGTCTCTCTGCTCAGGCATAGAAAACCTTTCCGGCTAAAATCCAAGCGTGATTTTCAGCCCCTGAGTGGAGAGATGCTCACATGGGGCCTGCACTGTTCCTCCCAGAGACTTCCTCACCTCCCTGAGGCACTCTGCATGCCTTACCTTATCATGCTGCGTCTGCGCTCAGAGGCTGAAAATCATGCCTGGATTTTGGCTGCCTCGTTTCTGGGGGCTGGCTTAAAAGAACTGGCCAAAATCCAAGCAGGCACAGAGCCCAAACCTTTCAGCAGGAAGTCCTTTCTCTCTTGGGGTTTGGCTGAAAGAGCTCTGCTGAAATCCAAGCAGCATGGAGCTGGAATTTTTTGTCAGGGAGTTCCTTCAGCCACCCTCCAGAGACGAGAAGGAATCTTCTCAGCAAGTGGCAGCAGCTTGAATATTCTCAGCCAGCTTGACTTTTGGGGGAAGCCAGCAGAGATTGCAAATGGTGATCCCATGATTATGGGGCAACTTGTCATAAGAGGTTGCCAAACATCCAGATTGTAATCATGTGACTGGGGTGTGTGTCGTGCAAAGTCTTTCCAAGGCCATCATTAATTCAAACTGGCATTAAACAAATGGTCATAAGTTGAGGACTACCTGTATGCAGTTATCTTCTGGTAAACAATATTTATTGTGAACATAAGACATTCCTAAGTGCACCTAACAGTACATCTAGTGCAGTGTTATTTAATTGAATGTAATACAGGTAGTCCTCGACTTATGACACCATTGAGCCCAAAATTTATGTTGTAAAGTGAGGCAGTTAAGTGAATTTTGCCCCATTTTACAACCTTTCTTGCTACAGCTGTTAAGTGAATGACAGCAGCTATTAAGTTAGTAACACGGCTATTAAGTGAATCCTGACTTCTCCATTGACTTTGCTTATCAGACGGTTGCAAAAGGTGATCCCATGACCCCAGGACATTGTGACCATCATAAATACGAACCAGTTGCCAAGCATCTGAATTTTGATCACATGACTGTGAGCATGCGCTGGTCATAAGTGTGAAAAACAGCCATAAGTCCCTTTTTTCCGGTGCCGTTGTAACTTTGAACAGTCACTAAATGAACTGTTGAAAGTCAAGGATTAACTGTAATTTTCAAGCCTCCCAGGCAGAGGTCTTTTTTCTATTCTGTTACCTCAGATCCTCCCAACTTGTGATTGAATATAAGATGATCTGCATCCTGAAGCAGCATTCCCAATGCTGGCTGGGGAATTCTGGGAGATGAAGTCCGCACATCTTAATGTTGCCAAGGTTGAGAAACACTGACTTAAGCTGTGCCCATTTCTAATTGGGGAGGGTGACTTGTGTGAAGTACAGTTAAACTGTTCAGTTGTTTTGTTCACAGGGCTTCACTTAAGTATTTCATATATACTATTAATTCTTTCAGGTTGGCAGATCAACAGAGAGCCCCATAGATTTTGTTGTAACAGATACGATTTCTGGCAGCCAAAACAGCGATGAAACTCAGATCACCCAAAGTACTATTTCCAGGTTTGCATGCCGCATTGTCTGTGACCGGAATGCACCGTATACAGCCAGAATATTTGCTGCAGGATTTGACTCTTCCAAAAACATATTCCTTGGGGTGAGCATGCCAAGTTTTCACATAAATCAGGACATGACCTCTATATCAGATGGTGAAAGGCTGCTTCAGATAATAGCTTCTTTCAAAGCAATGGCTGTTTCTTGCAAATCCATCCATTTTATAAAAATAGGAACAAAGAGTTCTGAAAATAGCCATACTTTTATATAAGTATTTATATACCACATTATCATCTTACTAGATTCACACACTAACTCTTGGTGACTCACAAGATAAAATAAAACCAACAGTGGAAATAGAGGAACCTGCCCGCCAAAAGGCATCTGGCATCAGCCCCCAAACACCTCCAGAAAAACTGTTTTAAGAAGCTTCCAGAGCTTGGGCTAAAAGCACTTCCAGAGAGTTGGGCAGTGATGAAAACAGTGCAACTGGGCCTTGAAATCCCCCAAAATGAGGGGCAACCAGTTGCTTCTCCCAGCATGATCAAAATGGTTGTGCTGAACCTAGAGAGATGGACATGTAGATAACCCAGCACCAAGCCATAGAAAGCTTTATAGATTAAAACCAGTAATTTAAGTTGCACTTGGAAGCTGATAGGAAGCCATTGCAGGCTTCCAAAATAGATACAATGTATGTCCAACAGCAAGCACCCATGAGCACCAGGTCACTGCATTTTGCATCAGTTGAACCTTCTGTGTGGTCTTTAAATGCAACCCATGCAGAATGTTCTAGAATGCTTGATCGTCTTATCCAATATTATGGACTTTAACTAGTAGCAATTCTCCAGAACTTCAGATAGAAGTAGATTGTTTGCTGAGTTGGCTGACTTGCTTGTTTTGGCTGTGTTTATGTTGCTTCCATCATTGCCAACTTAGAGCACCTTAAATATGTTTAGTTTGTATATAGAGTTAGAGACCAAAGAAAGCAGTCAATAATATAATAAGATCATAATAAGATCAATTACCAATGGTATCGGTAAAAAGGAGGAACTTTTTTATTTTTATAAAAAAAGAAGCAAGAAATGAGAGCTAAGTTTGACTCGTTAATACAAACAGTGTTTGCTTTGAAAGTTTGGTCAGAATTTGTCCATTCTTTCTCTGAAAACAATATTTGGTTTCTTTTTTTAATTGCTATATATCTCTAAATAGACTTCATCTTCTATTCCCTATTAATCTCAGATAATTAGTTCCAATTACATATTATTTGTTGACTAATGTTATTTCTGCATCTCATAATAAATGTTAAAGCAGTTTATAGATGAAGCCAAAAAAGGCTGCTGTATATGATCTGTTGGAAGGCCCCTAATTAAGACAACCATATTTTCTATTTGAAATAAATAAAGGAAACTTGTTAGCAAAATAGTACTAGTTATACAGCATTTAGTCCAAGTTATTGATAATCTGTTTTGATTCCCAGCTGTATTCTTTTTCTTCTATTTATCCTTTTATATGTGGTTCTAATACTTGGCTCTATTAGGCACTTGGTAATTTAAGTATGGAAAGCCTGAATAATTTATTTTTTTATTTCTTGTTGTGGCATTTTGTCTAGGAAAAAGCAGCAAAATGGAAGAATCCAGATGGACACATGGATGGATTAACAACTAATGGCGTTCTAGTCATGCATCCTAAAGGAGGGTTCACTGAAGAATCGAAACCTGGTGTTTGGCGAGAAATTTCAGTCTGCGGTGATGTATATACTCTACGGGAAACAAGATCTGCTCAACAAAGAGGCAAGCTAGTAAGTTTGTTTGTTTATTTATTTATTTATTTATTTATTTTGATTTGTCAATCGCTTACAAGATAATAGGTATATGTATATACATAGTTATGAATACATGAAATGGGTACATATAAGAAACATAAAAGAAACAATAGGACAGGGATGGTAGGCACGTTGGTGCGCTTATGCACGCCCCCTACAGACCTCTTAGGAAAGGGGTGAGGTCAATAGTAGACAGTCTAAGGTTAAAGTTTTTGGGGTTTGGGGAAGAAACCACAGAATCAGGTAGAGTATTCCAGACATGGACCACTCTGTTGCTGAAGTCGTATTTCCTGCAATCAAGTTTGGTACGGTTAATCTTGAGTTTTTATCTATTGTGTGCTCTTGTGTTGTTATGGTTGAAGCTGAAGTATTCATTGATAGGTAAGTCATTGCAATGTATGATTTTATATACCATACTTAGATCAGACCGAAGACGGCGTAATTCAAGGTTTTCTAGGTCTAGAATTTCAAGTCTGGTGGCATAAGGTATTCTGCAATGAGTAGAGGAGTGGAGAACTCTTCTTGTGAAATATTTCTGGATTTTCTCAACTGTGCTAATATCAGATACGTAATGTGGGTTCCAGACTGATGAGCTGTATTCGAGTATTGGTCTAGCAAATGATGAAAAACATTAATTAATTAATGATGAAAAACATGATTTAAAATTATTTCTAGCCATTAAAGAACATTAAAGTGGTTTTTAGTTAAACAAACAGTAAAGTTTGTTCAAAAGAAGTTTAACGAACGAGACAACATAAATACTTTGCAATGGTAAATAAGAATGCAGAAAACACGAATCCACCTGAAAACCATTACAACAGAACCATTTTACCTCCTGAATGAGAAGCCATTCAGGGATTTGCAGGAAAAGAAGTCCAGCTAGACACACTGTTTAGCAAAAGGGACCTTAAGCATGCCTAACCTACTGGATCTGGTGAAATGGATGGAGACCATAAGAATCAAGGAATGCTGCAAATTACATTACCTTGGGCATTGAGGATGATAACTAGCACCTTGGTTTGCACACAGAGGCAGACTGGAAATCAGTGTAGCTTACATAAAGATACACAGATTTGTTCTTGAATTGGGAGGTACTACATAAAGTCACTCATGTGGTTGGACTGTTGCAGTGTGCTATATACATGGGCTGCCCTTGAAGACTATTTGGTAACCACATTTCGTCCAGATTGTAGAGTTGTGAATGGATATGGGTATACCTTGAAACATTTTAGGTTCACTTCTGCTCCACAAGCTATATTGGCTGCTAATCAGCAAATAGGTGGAATTCAAAGTGTTCGTCCTCATTTACACCCACTCCTCATTTAAGTGACAGAGTTCCATTCCAATGACCAAGTGGTCACTAAGTGAATACATGAGAGAAAGAAACTGAAGATCACTGATTGCTGACCTGTCAATCAGATAAAGTTGTATAGTTACTCATTCCTCCATGCATTATAAGATGCATGAAATTTTACAGTAAATGCTGCATTGGCTAAAAAATGATTTTGATTACTGTCATATTGCAAATGGTTGTGACTGAAGTTGCTAAACAAGAAGTGGGTATAAAAACTTCTTTGTGGCTTGACGCCTGATGATCTAGGGAACACCTCTTCTGTTTATGTTTCCCATCCTATAAAATCTAATATAGCGGGATGCTTCAGGTTCCATTGTTAAAATGCTGTCAGATCTCAGAGATGGTTCTTTTCTGTAGCTTTATCTGTCCTGTGAGATAGTATCACCTATTCACTCTTCCAAAGTCCGCACAGTCACAACACTGTTGTTGTTTCTACAAGCCTTGGAATGTGGCTTGCACTCAATAGGCCCTCAGACAAGCATTTTTCTACTTGTTTTATTATTTGAATATGTTTGTGACTCATTATTAGGTGTCTATGGAAATTCTCAGTTATCCAGGTCATGAAAAAGCACCTTTGGGACTATTAGACTCGGGTAATGGGGGCAGCTTATAAATCAGATGGATTGATACTGGGAAGTGTGTTTTCAAGGAAATTCTAGTAGAATGAACTTACAGCTCTTAAGAATGCAGAAGTTAGAAAAGAATCTGCTAAAATAATAAAAACATAATTGTCCATTGCTTTAGCTCTTACTGTACAAATGCCATTGTATTCTACACAAGAAAAAGAGAAGGCTGGATGGCTCATCATAATATAAGAATTTAAAGAAGAGAATGAAAGTTTCATTGCTTCCAGAAGTGTGGGGGAACGTTGCGAAAGGAATAATTTTCAAATTGTTCTTTTTTTCTGCCTGGCGTTTTAGGTGGAAAATGAAACCAACATCCTACAAGATGGTTCTCTCATTGATCTATGTGGGGCCACACTCTTGTGGAGAACAGCAGATGGCTTATTTCACACACCAACTCAGAAACACATAGAGGCTCTACGACAAGAAATCAATGCTGCAAGGCCCCAGTGCCCCGTGGGACTGAATACACTGGCTTTTCCTAGCATTAACCGTAAAGAAGTGGTAGAAGAAAAACAACCATGGGCTTACCTCAGCTGTGGACATGTCCACGGTTATCATAACTGGGGACACCGCAGTGACACCGAAGCCAATGAGCGGGAATGTCCCATGTGCAGAACTGTTGGTCCATATGTTCCTCTTTGGCTTGGGTGTGAGGCAGGCTTTTATGTTGATGCTGGTCCACCAACTTATGCTTTCACCCCTTGTGGGCATGTATGCTCAGAAAAATCTGCCAAATACTGGTCTCAGATCCCATTGCCACATGGTACTCATGCATTCCATGCTGCCTGCCCTTTCTGTGCTATCCAGCTGTCTGGAGATCAGAACTGCATCAAGCTTATTTTTCAGGGTCCAATTGACTGATAATGCCATTTTACAGATGACCATTATACAGCTCACTTTGTTAACAATTTACTGTGAAGATAAAGAATTGCCACTAACTCTAGATTTTACCTTTTTTACAAAATAAGATTGTTATTAATGAGGGCTTTGGGGTGGGATTAGCAGCTGAGATGTGAAGTTATTTTGATACCTGGAACCAAACAGTTATCAGTGGCATTGCATGCTGAACAGCAGCATGTTCATGATGACATCTTTTTTGGTTAAGCTGTAGTATATTTGTAAGATTTGTAAGATTAGAAGAAAAATACCAGTGTCTTAATGATTTTTTTAATATTGGATTTTTTAACAGAAATGTTTTCTTCTACACTTTGAATGACAAGCCTTTAAAACACATATTTTTTCAATCTAAAAGAAGCAAACAGAATGTAATTTGTCCTCTCTTTTTAATTTGCAATATAGTTAACTTGAATAATTCATTCTCAAAGAGGATGTATCAAATGTTTGAGTAAAACTAGGTGAATATTCACTTAATACATTGAACATAGAGTGAACATAAAAGATTGGCTTTATCAGCATAGCACAAAATATTATGAGATTCTGCAGTGTTGTCTAATATAGCTGTCCGAGAGACATAGTTACTTGAAAGTTGGGGATCTCTGGCTTTCTGTGTTATTTTTCTTTCCTTCAAATAAAAGTTCCTATGTTAAACAATACTCGTAAAACTAATAGGGGATGTTTGAGGAACAGGTTACTCCAACCTAAGTTTAAGATGGTGTATGCAAAATGAACATTTTTTTCTTCGCTTCTGACTCCTCTGAACCAACTCTGTTATCTATCAGTAGCAGGGACAGTACTATCATTCTGCCCTGTATTTTACTAAATTAACTCAGCACAGAATGGTCCTGTTAAGGATTAGCATTAGACCAATTATCACAGTAGCGTAAGAGCCATATTTCTTTTTCCATAGTACTCATGGCTCTTATCATGTGCTAATAATCTTTTCATGCATGTTCTTCCTAGCTTGGTTGGTCCTGCTTGGGTCTGATTCTTGTATGGTGCTCTTGCAGCACCATGGGCAAAGTGGTTCTCCCACCAGTGTAGTGATGCTAAATGTATCTCATATAAATTCAACGGCCATAAGTCGCAATGTATAACAAGTCTTTTTCAGTTTTGCAACTGGTGTCATTTATAATGTTCATGCATATCTACCTATTTGTACCATCTTAACAGTTTTGTCTCTTTCTAATTCTGCCTTTTGGATTTACTTGTATTAACTTGCCCTTGCATGTCTGGGACCTGTGAGCAAATGAAAATGTAGCAACTTATTAATCCAGTTTTTCAGTAGTTTAACTTTCTACAGTAGTGGGAAGTTTTGGATATTTTTTTGTAGAACATACACAAACTGCCCTTGATCTTATAATCAGTTTGATGCCCTCTTCAGTCTAAACCAATTGCAGAAAATTCTGCATAATTCACATGTTTAAATTCTTGGCAATCATTTTGAAATAATAATTTAAAATAGGTGGTTTTGTAGCACCTGCTTCTTTTATGTTTCCCATAATGTGCAAATCTTTTCTAATAATATGGTTGACTTGTTAATGTTTGGTTTGCTATTTTTCTTTTCTTCCTTCTATTAATTTAATTTAGAAGTTGCTTCTAAAAAAAACCTTTATATGTTTAGGATCAATTCATGTCTTAAGTAACTTGAAATTCTTGATTTAGTATAGGAGGAATGGTGGATAGGAAACGGGACAAATTACTGCTCATTTTGAGAATTATTTTACATGTACTTCATTGTTGTTTTGTGATAGAAATTCCATTGTTGTTTTATTTTTGTTTTATACTCATGCTATCAAATTTATTCAATTTTTCATATTGCCATGAAAAAATTAGTCCCTACCAAAGAGAAATTAATTACATGTCTTGAAGTAAATCTTGCATTTTGGATTACCTGTTAAAATGCAGAACAGTCCATTGGTTTACTTTGTCCTTTGTTTAAGTATATAAGTTATATGAGTTTAATATATTAACAAACATATATACATACACATACACTTGAATTGGCCTGTTCATAGTTAAAACATAATACTTTATAGTAAGTTAACCTTTTAAACACTTCACATGTCCATGCTCATTTGCTGATGTTTAATACACTTTTCCTGTATAAAAAGTTCAGTATTTTTAATTAGAAACATTAGTTTCTCTTTGTCTAAAAGGATTTTACTTACTGCAGTATATTGCATCAAATACCATACTCTAGCTTGTCTAGCCCATGTGATAGATTGGGAGAGCCAGTTATTTTCAAAACATTTTGTATTAGTGCCTTCTAAACGAGTTAGCACCTTGCTCTAATTTCATGATAAAACATGTAACTCAAATCTTGATTAGCTGTTATCTTTTAACACAGATACTTTTAGTCCTTTATATGACTTCCTGTTAATTCGTGAAATGCTATAAAATCAAAGTTAAAAACTATTCTCCTTGTTACTTTAAAAGGTGAAAAAAGAAACATGGTTGCCATGTTTGACCATGTTATATACAAGGTTATATGGAGATCCTATACTCTACTAATTGCTCCAGCAATGAAAGTTGTTCCAGATATATATTTTTCTTTTTAATGGGTCATATGAACCCACTCATTCTGCAGTTCTGAATCCTTTTGTAACCTGAGCAGCATGTATAGAAAAAAACCCATATTTCCTCAAACTAGGAGTCTGAATCCCATTTTTCCTTATACATTACAGAATTTGATTTGGCTCCTCTTTCTGTTTCAGAGAGCTATTGGCTATATGAAACATTCCTTATTCAATTTGCCAGTGCGATGTATTGAAAGAGCATTCTCAGTCTCTTCCTCTTTTAAGCTTTTGGAATTTTAAAAACTATTTTGAATATTGTTCTCCTGAATTCTGTCAGCAATAATATTTTCTACAAGTTAAGATTTTTGAAGCAGTGTCTTTGTCAGTGTTGTCTGAATAGAATTTAAAACTCTTGTTATACAAACTTACTTCAAAGTGTGCTTTGTGTCTTATTTTAAATTTTGTTTATTGGCTCACATATTATACAACTCTGTCATTCCTCATATAGGAAAACATTTTTTGCTTGTAATAAGCCTGTAATCTACATGTTCGTGTTCTTCCTTTGAAATGTAATTCTTGTTTAGTAATCCCTTGGTTCTTTCCAATCTAAACTATCCAATTATGGTTCTTCAGTGCCTCAGGCTTGCCAGACACAGATAGAAGATATTTGTTTTGGATTCCAGGTTGAAGGGGTGAAAGGGAGCATTGAAAATTGTGTGCATTTTTAAGAATAAGACAACTCTAACACAAAACAAGCCACTAAGTGGCTTTTTTTGCATGTTTTAAATGATTGTCTCATTTCATGTTGAACTTTTCCCCAAAGAGCTATGAATTTCTTAGTGTACTCTTTCAATCAGTCATTTCAGTCTATATTTTACTTAAATGGACATAATTGTGTGACATGCTTCACCTGACTCTATGGGTTTATAGGGCTCACTTGAAAGTGGTAACACAGACTAAATTGTACAAAACTCTAAAATGTGGTTGAATACTTTATAATTTCAAATGTCATGCAAACTCAACCAGCATTATGCTCCTTAAAATTTTCTGTGCATTCTTTTGAATGTTTGCAGTGGTGCTTACTATCATCAATCTTCTTTTTCTGTCATTTCTTAATGTCAGATTGAGAAATCTTGACTCATTCCTTGGTCATGGAGTAGTTTAGAAATATTTTGGCACTTTTCTAGAAAGATAAGCATGAGTCTGATCTTTGTTTTAAAATATGTTTGGGGAATCAACTCAATGCTTTTGTTTTAATACTACTTGCATGATGTCAACACCCCTACCCCACCCAGTTGGACATAGATTCAAAGTATATACAGGAACTGGCCAAAATTGCTTGAGATATGTTAAATTGATCTATGCGACAATTTCCAGTGGGTTTTCTCTAAAATAAAACTTAAAAATTTATATATTTTGAAATAAATTGGAGCTTTTATCCTTTAAAGAAAGGTTATTTAATCTGATGCTTCCAGATGTGTTGGGACTCTAACCCCCAGGGATTCTCAGTCCTTGAGGTTACAAAGATTTTTGGAAATTGTAGTTCTGATACATCTGAAGGATGCCAGGTTAAGAAAAACTGCCCTATAAAATGAATTCGAAGCATGTGCAAACTTTTTCTTCCCTGCTCCTTCCAATAGCCAATTGAAAAAAATCTTGAAGAATATTTATTAAAAAATCAATGCAAGTCACGCTAACCTGTGTTGGGAGATCCACTAATGTCGATATAAAATATTAACTGAAATCTTGTAATTCTCCCTGGACAATTTCTCTTCTTAGACACTGAGGAAATGTTTCTGTGTTTTTGTGTTAGCTTCTCTGCTCTAGAACTCAATAATTATTTATTTCATTGCTGGGGTATTTGGTTCCTTAGAAACAGCAGACCTTCTGAAGTCTTAGTTGTCCCTACAATTTGAATTTCAGGAAAAAAAATATGCTAGATTTTTCTGAAACTTCATGAGGTTTTTAAGAATCCCTTTCTGTCAAGCAAATTGCAAATACAAAAATAAATTTGAACAGGTTGACCTGTGCAAATAAGTCAAGATACATGTTTTGCTCTCCCGTTTGTTAAGTAAATAAGAACATTTTATTATATGCATATATAGTTATAAGTCCCATGGGTCATTAAACAGTGCCAGTTTAGAAACTGCAAAACCTCAGATTTGTTTTATGCTATTGAAAGGATTCATTGTTCCATAACAGCAATAATTGTTTGTCAGTTGATGGATTTGCCTATGCTATTTGCACTAAAAGCAATGCGATTATCCATTTTTACTATACTAATTCATTACTGTCTAAATGACTTCAGATATTTGTGCTGTGTATCCATTTTCTTGTTTATGCTCATATCTTCTTACAGTTTCCAGACAATGGTGCAGGAACAGTTAATAATTTCTATAAAGAGATTATGAATGTTAAGCCATTCAGTTCACTGTGATGGATTTAAGAAGGCAGACTGTTTCGTGGAGATTGCTTCAAGCAAACTCAGATGGTTCCCTCTAGTACATGTGCTTTTACAGATCTGAATCTGATTGGAGAAATTGATAGTTGTTCAATGTAATTTAGCATTCATTCCAAAAATTATTTTAAAAAAGGACTTATGTTAATCCTATGGTCAAATATCTCTGAATCATTGAAATAGGATAGTAGCTTCCTTTCAGTAAAAAAATCTTAAATAGTCCTAAATTTTTCTTAAGGTGATGTTTTAATTAGTTGGAAAGCTGATATTTAATAAAACAACCTAGATTGTTGAGATACCTTACACACACACACAATCTCTTTGCTTCACTGAGAGGCATCTTATAGTTTAGTGAGTACATCTAGTAAGCACAGAAGCAGAGCTAGAGAACATAAAAGGAGGCAGTGCAGTATGGAACATCTGGATATCAAAGTATTGTAATTGTTGTTGGCATTATGTTATTTTAATAACAATCGGTATGGCTGGTAATTGATCAGGATGAATGCCTGCTGGGGTCAAAGGTGAAAATATGACTGTTGAAAGATTGCATCAACAGCTGGGATAATTACCAAGAAGCTGTTCAGAGGAAAAAGAAATACTTTTCACTAGTTCCTTTCCATATGAATATCAATAGTTGGTAATACTTATTTTAAATGCATTCTTGCGGTAGTTTTGACATACATTCCTGGATGTCTTTTTCAAACTCCCGGTGTTAAAAATACTTTTGAGTAGGAGTATCATGAATTGAATTGGGGCTTGTATTCTTACAACATGATGGCTTACTAATCAGTTAAAAATAGTTTAAGAACCTGACAATGGGCATGTAACCGATCATACCAAAATCAGGTCTTCATCAAACTTCAAATATGTGCAAAACAGAAAACATGTTGTTTGAAAGTTTTCATTGTTCTGGATTTTGGATGAAACAACACTCTAGAAGGAACCCATAAAGATACAGGAGTGGTGTTACAGAATGAGTAGGGTAAGGCCCTCTTCTAGTAGCTCTGGGTATCATACTCCAACCACCTGCCTGCCTCCAATCACCCTCCGCTTCCACAAACCATTGTGTGGAACAGCATTGTTTTGTTCTATATATAGTCCAAAGATTACAAAACATGCATGGTTCACTTAGAATATTGGCTACTCAATACAGTTGTTCCGTGCATGGAACGGTTTGCACATTCCTACAGAAAATCCATTCTATGCAGGCAACCATTATAGTAACCTTAAAGTCTTAAATGATTCTAAGTTGTCTTGTATCTTTAAATTATTTGGAATAGGAAAAATGTATATTATTGGTTTATTCCATAAAATTAAAAACAAATTTGTGTTCGACATATTACTGTAGGTACCTGTCTAGTTATTCTTTAGATTTGGAGACCCTTTTATACACTATTTTAATGTTGAATTTATCTGATTACAAGTGTCTTGATGACCCTCTTCACCTAGAAATAAAAGTCACCAGTCTGCACACTAGAGTGGGTATTGATTTGTTTGGGTGTTAGCTAGGCTTTGGGGCGTTCTGTCCTATGAAAACAGTGTTCCCTGGAATCTTGATAGGAATCCGGGCCTCTCTTAAAATGGTATTTTCAGGTCACTATTATCTATTACTAGATCATGCTTTAATCAGTCCACATCTATAGTAGAGAGGGCTAATGCAAGTTGTAGCTCAGCCACATTTTCCACACCTATAAAATATAATCAAGATTTCCCACTTAGAATTTGGGGGGAGGGGATATCAGTAATGATGAACAAGCAATCATTTGGCATCTTACTAAAAAAAAAACACCTCTAATACATGTAGGGGAGACTCTTAGCTTTATAGTAGCAGCATATTGAAAATACTGTCTTAGCTGTTGATCAGGCTTGGTAAAACAAATATGCAAGAAACTCATCCTGGTATAAAAGTTCAAATAATTATCTAACTTAATTTTTTAATGTAACACCTTTTTCCTATGAAAGGTAATTCATTGCCTAGTAAGAAGACTAATTTGTAAGGCGCATATATGGAACTCAATCAAAACCATTCCTAGAGATCTTATTTTGGACAAACCCACTTGAAAGATGGAAATGGCAATATTGACTTCAGAGTGTTATCAGCTGTTAATGTTCTGAATTATATTTGTGAAATTGGCCTTTTGTACAACAGTGTGAATGAATATTAACATAATTTAACTTGTATGTTTTGGAAGTACAAGCCATTTTACAGGAGGGGGAAAAATAAAATAGTATTCCAGTATTATCTCTTGACTCCTTTTTTATTCTTCATATTTCAAAGCTGTAACAGGAATGCAATGTTTGGTTTGTGAATTAAAGTCAGCATTTCTCTTTAAGGCGATCAAATAAATGGTTATTAGAATACTTGGTGCATAGAGATCTGAATCTTAGCTGTGTTGGTCCTTTGGAGCAAATTGGACCCATCGCCATTAAGAATTCTGGAAAGGAATACATTAATGGTGGAAGTTCTTATATATGAGATTTCAAGATAAAAAGAACACAGCAGTGAAATTTACCATAAAGGCCATTAATAATAATAGATATATGTTAAGACCAAGCAGCAGAAATTTTTTACATCTTACTACAACTGCTCCTCACCTGAAAATTTTCTCCAAGTGCCATAACAAGATTAAACAGGCCATTCATACTGTTTATTGCATATAGTTTTGCATGTACTTTCATATACTTGAAGTGAAAATTCATTTTGTTGTTCAGGACAATTTTTTTTTAATGAGACTGTTCTTAAGAATACAAGCCAATAAGTAAATAAAAATATATTTTTAAAAAGGAAAAAAAAAGAATACAAGCCAGGTGATTTAAGACTTAGAAGCCAGATTTTGTGGTGTTTTACAAAATTACAGTTGTGAGTGAAAAAAAAAAAAGCCTTGTGCCAAATGAAACCCCAGAGCAGAAGTGAGGAATCCAGTTTCCATAGTCGCCATTTTGTTCACAGACATCAACTT